TTGCAAACTCCCATACATCTTCCTTGTCAGCTTTGTTCAACTCGCCCTTGCTAATCCCTACCTTACTCTACGGACATCTTTGCAAACTCCCATACATCTTCCTTGTCAGCTTTGTTCAACTCGCCCTTGCTAATCCCTACCTTACTCTACGGACATCTTTGCAAACTCCCATACATCTTCCTTGTCAGCTTTGTTCAACTCGCCCTTGCTAATCCCTACCTTACTCTACGGACATCTTTGCAAACTCCCATACATCTTCCTTGTCAGCTTTGTTCAACTCGCCCTTGCTAATCCCTACCTTCCTGAGCTGCTATACGACTTCTGATGTGTAGCACATATAATCTTTAATTAACCCTCTATTTACCTTTTTCTATGGTGCTATACGACCTTTGATGTTTAGCACATGTATTTTGTTGTGTAACAATTAACCAATACAGTGCAATAATAAACTTCTCACCTGTAATTTCCTTTCCGCACCGCTAACGAATGCAAGGGCGTTGCCATGCAGAATGGACACGCCGTTGGTGCTTGCCTGAGGGCACATGTTACTCCCCTGAGAACACTGCCATACGCGGTAATTCCACTCGCACCCCAGTTCATAAAGCTTCTGCGGATGCTGTAATGAGAAATAATGTGGAAATGGAAATAAAACCTGTTTCCTGTACTGATATGTGATATAAAACATAACTCTTGCAAAAGAGAAAAGAGAAGAGAAGAGAAAGACGGATGACATTATCAGCCCCTCTTTTCCTCCCTCCTACAACGCCCAACACTCCTACCTTATGAAACAGGATGTTCAGCATGTCTTGATCAGCCAATTTGATCCTTTGTCTGAAATTGTCAAAGACCTTCATGACAGCCGGCGTCCAGCCACCTCCCGGGAAGCTCTTCATGCGCGTTAGGTTCATGTGCATGATGCCTGCGTTGAGGCCCGACGACCCGTAAAAGGGGATCTGCGAGAGTATTTGCGATGATAAAAAATAGACAATTTTGTATCCTTCTCATTCGTCTTACTCCTTATCAGTGTTTGTCATACTAGCTCGTAAATTCCATATCATTATGGCATAACTACATTCAGATTATGGACGCGCAAATCTCTCTCTACCTGTTCTCTTTGTTTGTCTTCTATTAACCTAACACTAACTGGGTGACTGTCTATCTGTCTCTCTATTGTCTATTTCTTAGTATCTGCCATGGTATCTCTCACTAAACTTCTAAATCTGTACCAAACGCTGTTTTCACCTTGTTCCTTGTCGAGCCATAGTGATAGAGACAAGGTGCCATCGCAGCCACTTGCCTATCGTTGAACTTTCGGAATTCGGCCCACAGGTCCTCCGGCGGACGAAGGAACACGAGGTCGGTGTCGATGTAAATGGCCGCGTCCAGGTCGGGGAACATGTCCGGCAGGAAGAGCCTCTCCGTGGCGCACACCCGGAACATGTTGCGCATATCCTCCCGTCCCGGAGGGTACCACACGTTGTAGTACTCGAAGGAGAGGCGCTGTTGGTACTCGATAGGCCAGTTCGACGTCGTATTCACCAGCCGCTGGTATAAAGACTTTGAATCTGCAATCACCAGGAACCTGCCGAGATGAAGCGGGAGATGAATAATGAAATGGAGGGAATGTAATGTTGTTAAGGGAGGGGAAGAGGAGGAAAAATCGAAACGGAAATTATCTAAAATATACAATTCTTTATAGATCTGTCTTCATTTCATAAGAACAAGTAGATGCGCAAGGCAAGATGAATGACTTGATACGTCGATCTCAAAATATCGTCTGATATACATGCACTGGAATCATTAATTCCCACTCACACCCTTTTCAGCGTCTGTTGCAAAGAACCTGCGCATCTGCCTATCCAAGAAAACTTACCTGAGAAAGGTAGAGGTCAAAGCGGCCGCTGACTTCAGCATTACAGCGGCCTGACGAATCTGACGACCGATATCAGATGCCTTATTTCCCCCCTGGTTGGCTGTTGGTGTACCTGACACAGGATTAAATCTGTTATTGATGACTGTGACAACGACCCAACTTCTTTAACATTTCAGGTACATCTGTCAGTCAATTCATCTAGATCTGGCCGTCCAGGTTATTAGAAAGTTGAAACTTTCCTTCAAGCAAACTAAATAAACTAAACATTTCCCAGACTGTTTTAAAAAGACAATAATAATAATAATAATACAAATAAATTCATATCGCTATAAATGAAAATGTATGATCAGTATAGCAAAAACTTAGTTATTTGCATTCTCATTCCTTCAGTGCTGAATATTACTATTATTTTCTTTAATATAATATTTTTTTTCTTCCTGAGAACAATACCTGCAAGTTGGCATGGTTTCCGATCCCTTCTCCCCCGAGTGCCTCTCTGTATATCTATCTATATAAGTTTATCTGTCCACTCTTATGGCAATTGAATAACAATATGACAATATATTCTTTCTAGCATCTCAGAAAGACAGTAACGATATATTATACGGCAACAGATGCAGTGTAAATCCTTCCACACCTTCACATTGAATGAGGAAGAAGACCAATTCTTCTTTTCTGGCTGTCTGCGTCTCCCCATTCTGACCTGGAAGTATGGAAAGAAAAATATAATTTCAGAATATCCAGCAACTTCTTGTAACGGGGTGTAAGAAAGAATTCAAATGTTATACAGTAGAATGAAATATATCTTTAAAATTACAATATTCATTTTCGAAATGCTTGAAAGAAAAAGTGCGGACTGGGAGAGGGAAAATTGCAGAATGAGAAATATAAAGTTAGACAAACAGGGGAAAAGAGAAACTGAGGTATTGATTAATTGATCGATTGATCACAAAACACAATCATTCAGCATCACATACCTTCAACCAAAAATATATATTCACCTGGCTCGCCCAAAAAATTAAATAGTACGTAGCACAAGGCAATAAAGACATAACACAAAGAAAACAGACACTAAATAACAAAAGGAACTCACAAGAGACATGAGATAACACGAGTGAAGCACAACTAAAATAATACTAGGAAAAGACAGACACGAAAAAAGATAGGACGAAAGAAAGAGAAAAATAACAAATAACACTAAAAAGAATAATAACATACCAACACTGGAAAAAGCTTCTGTGTTCGAAGTCAGAGCTTCAGGATTAAGACTCGCTGGGCGACCATTGTCGCGAGAAAAATTGTATTTGGCGAAAGTATAGATGCAGAGGACAAGAGCTAAAGGGACAACCGGCCGACCTCTTGCACGAATCTGGGGAATGGAGAAAGAAATACGATAATAAACGTATGGTTATTGATGATTAGTGTAACAAAGAGTGTGTCATATTCAGTGTGTGGGTGATGATAAGTAGTAAATTAAAGGAAGTACCATAATGAAAGTGTTTATGAGGGTAATCAGTAGCAGGGGACATCCCATAACATAAGCGCGGATGATAGTTATTGTATTAATGGAGGTGCTGTTACAATTAATGACAAATCACATAAGAAAGATATATCATCGTTACTCTTACGGACTGTATTCGGGGTTTCTTGGTCCCAATGTCATCTTTGAACTGCATTATAAAAAGACTTATCTACAAACACAAAATGTATATATGTTTCTAAAAGTCACTTACTGTTCGGATATATGATATGAAGGCCATTCCTTCAAACGGTTGCTGCGACAACTACGTCGCTGCCTGTAGGATATGCGAGCAGCGTTAGGATATGTGAACACTGTTATGTAGGATATTGTCTCGCATTCCAGTCAGCTTC